AAAAAAAAGAATTTCGGCTTCTTGGCTTTCCCAAATTGTCAAAATTTTCGCCTGCGGCGCTGAAAAAGGAAGATAGCAATTACTTATATACTACAAATCCGTTTATACTCCACTCCCTAATCCACATATACATATTACTTAATCGACGACAAATTCTATTACCGGACTCGCATCATAATTTAAAAATTGCGGATTGCGAGTTGCGGAAATACTGGAACCGGAACTTCCGGCGAAGCACTAGCTTATATCGCCTTCCTCTCGAAATGGAGATATGGAGACAATTTGGGTAGGCAATGGAGCAAGATGGTGAATTTTTTGGCCTACGGCCTTTCAAAATTTTAAAATTTTTCGTCTGCGGCGCTTAAAATAAAATTTTACTTGAAAAATATTCAATTTTATTTAAAAAAAAGCGTCGCCAAAAATTTGGCTTCGAAAATGATTGACCCCCCCCCCCCTTCCCCGAAAATTTTCCTTGCTACGGGCCTGGCTTATGGGACACAATTGTTGTAAATAAACCAATAACTAAATCATTTATAAGTCATAGTCGACTAATAACGTATTTGAGGTCGAATAATTTCGAAATAAATGCAGTTTTGAAAATTTTTTGAATATTAAAATGTTTCGTTTTGTTTCGTTTCGTTTCGTAAGATTTTGGTTGTTTCGTTTCGTTTCGTTAACGAAACGATTTTTAAAAAATTTTGTTTCGTTTCGTTTCGTCAGAAAAAAATTTTGAGTTTCGCCCAGGTCTGATCCCCGTTAAACCCCAAACAGTACTTAAAAAAAATTTAGAAAAAAAACCTTTCAACAACTCAAGCATTCAATAAATAAGATTAAAAAATCAGAATCTGACACCATTAAGTGAGAACCATCTCATCCATTTCATCATATCATAGGCACTGTTGTTCATAATCCATCGAACATAATTAAAGAGAAATTGAAGTCGAGATGATAGAAGAATTTAATGTTTAGTACCTGAAAAAAAATGACTTAAAAAATAAGGCGAAACTTAAAACAACGTAGAAATGATCTTAAACTTCATGAAAGGAAAGGAAGCCATTTTAAATTTGAATATGAATGGTTTTTTCCCTCTTTCTCTAATTCCCTAACTATTTTCCTAAAATTGGGACAAGGACAATTTGTCGCGGGCTATATTTGACCATCTCATCCATTTTTTGTCGCAGTGATTAAAGGAAGTTTTTTGTTTAAAAATCCATCCAAAGAAAAATTATTGGACAAGAGGTTCTAATTAGTTAACCGACCTCATAAGTAACGATTTAGTCTTTGGATTTTTTCTAGAGTAAACAGGAGCGAAAAATTAGTCAGCGACAAAGTGGGACGTACGTGTTTAGATTCAATTAAGAAATTTTACTTGTTCGTTACCCAAAACCAATTTGGCGGATTTATATTTACAAACAGTATAAGTAAAGACTCCACATAACAGGCTAATTTTTATGGGAAAAATTTAAATAGGCAATAGGTTCGAAGAGAGCGGTTGGGCGAAAATGTATATATAAAATTTTCCCTCAAGTCATAAACGTTTTTATAATCTAAAAATTAATCCTGCCTACGTTTACATGATTTGTAATAGAGGAAAAAATTGTGCCCTTCTGATCATATTCAGAAAAATTAAATTGACTACCCCAATAAGTACCTAATGAATTTGGCATATTCATGCGCATGTTATCAAGTCTAAAAACCTGGTTTCGGAGTACCCGACCCATCCCTACCCTTGAACTATTAGGTCGCGTCATAATTAGTGGCCGTTTTTTTAGATTAAATTTTTAGAGGTGTTATTTTACAAATATTCTTTTTTATTATTATCGAACATAAAGATCTGAATCTACTCTTCATTTTAATACCAGGTTTAGGTATATATGGCTAATATTCATAAAGTTATGATTTTTTGAACTTCACTACCTCGTAGTGAAATTCTCAAGCATTTACACCAAAAATTATAAATTACCAAAAATGGACACAAGAAGCAAAATATCTTAATGATCTAGTCAATGGGATCGTTCTCTATGCTAGACAGAAAAAATAGGATTCAAACTTTACTATGAAGGCCGTATAACTCTCAGAAGCAAACATGGTCGAGGGAGACGGCTGTTATTAAGAATAACGGTCCTGCTCTGCCGGCTTAGATGGAATCCGCTTATTTTTACTGTTGAATTATAGAGGGATATCTGCTCTATACATAGGGCCACGCGCGACTCAAAAAACGCGAGCTGCGCTTAAGGAAGGCAAATCAAATGCCGCGTGTACTCTCTTTTGCAAAGCTGGGAAAACGAGACGACACTCCCCCAAAAAGTTGTTTCTTATATCTCAGCGTAAAATCATCCGATCAGGATGATCTAAACGGTTTTTTAAATCAAATAGAGGGCTTATACTAAATCCGAAATATGAAGTTTGTAAATCGTGTCGAACCCGGAATTCGAATTTCGACCTTTTTGAAAAATTTCGAATTTTCTGATTAAAAATTCGACTTTGAGCCCTCCTGATAGAGCTTTTAAAAAGCTTTCGAATGATATATTACACTAAATATAATCATTAAATATAATCGAGAAAATTTGATTTTCGATGATTTCGAAAATTTTGACATTTTTGATCAGAACTCCCTGAATACCTACCCAAAAATTCTCAAATTCTAGGATCCCTTAGAAAATATACTAACAAATGATTCGAAATAAAAATAAAAAAAAATTTTCAAAAAACTTAATTTTAAAAACCCAAATTAAAAAACGGCCACTAATTATGACGCGACCTAATAGTTTCAGGTTCAGAAGCTTTCGTATTTTCCCCTTCATCACTTGAAAACGACTCGTCAGGATCAGCTTCCCCTTCCCGACACAAGATTTCCGGCTCGTCAAAGTCGAATTCCTCTGTTTCTTCCACATCATCAGCTTCTTTCCAACCTCGTATTTCATCAACGATCACTTTTGCTAGACGATGTTCAGTTGAATTAATCGGGGATTCAGTTATACTCTCAGAAAATTCAATAATTAATAATTCAATAACATTTTTGGATTAATTCGTTCCATTTTTGGAAAGTTTTTATTTTAATACTATAAAAATTAACTATTCGGCATTAAAAATATTAGAAACAATTATTTAGATAAAAAAATAAAACCCAAAAAAGAATCAAATTTTTTAGAGAAAAAAAGCGACGCAAGCACACTAACCACTACACCATCAAAATTAACGTATTATTTAAAGTTTATATTTGGAAGGGGAAAAATTATGCCAAATTTTGGGACTTTGGCGGGCCAGATCAAAAAACGGGCAAAAACGGCTCAAAATCCTTGCTAGAAAGGGCACATTCTCTGTCGAATGAGCCCGGTCTCGACCGTTTTTAGGTCGGACACCTCGCAAACTCTCCTTGTTAGCTTCCTGTTCACAATCTATCAGTCATTTAATCAAAACTTTTTATTCAACAAACTTGTCTATTATTAACGTAACTACACTGTGTTACATAAGTATACGCGCACCTAAATTTTTCGATTTTTCTTCATTAATACTTAAGTCATTATCTTCTAGATTTTTTTATAATATGTAAACCAACTAAACAAGAAGATCTATGCACAATTTACACAAAAAATTCAGTAATTTATTTTTATTTTTAATTTTTTTCCAAAATAGGGTGTTTCATAAGTATACGCGCACTTTTATTACTGGAGATTTTCGACATTAGGGATGGTTTAAAAATCCACAAAAATTCCTATAAACGTATCAGGTGATATTGAAAGAAAATACAAAAGGAATGAAGTTCCAGTCAAGTCCCATCATCAAGATCTCAAAACCCGAAAATCAACGGAAAACCGGAGTAAACGTCTTTAAAAAATATTTTCGACCCCTTGAAGACCGCATTAAATTTTTATTTTCTACTTTTCTGAAAGCCCATTAAATTTGCTACAAGAAATTTTTAAATTATTATATACAAAAAATTGACATTCGAGATTATCGGTGTTAAATTCACTAAACCTAAAAATCATTGAATTTACTCCATATTTATCACTTTAAAAATTCAATGCTTTACAACTCAACGAAGGATTTTTTTACGAAAATTAAATATCGGTGATATTATAGAAAATTTAATGTACTTTCAGAAAAGTAGAAAATAAAAATTTAATACGGCCTTTAAGGGGTCGAAAATATTTTTTAAAGACGTTTACCCCGGTTTTCCGTTGATTTTCGGGGTTTCAGATCTCAATGATGGGACTTGATTGGAACTTCATTTCTTTTGTATTTTGTTTCAATATCACTCGTTATATTTACAGAGATTTTTGCGAATTTTTCGAATCATCCCTAATGTCAAAAATCTTTAGTTATAAAAGTGCGCGTATACTTATGAAACACCCTATTTTGGAAAAAAAATAAAAATAAAAATAAATTACTCAATTTCTTAGGTAAATTGTCCATAGATCTTCTTGTTTAGTTAATTTACATCTTATAAAAAATCTAGAAGATATTGACTTAAGTATAATGACAAAAAAATCGAAAAATTTAGGTGCGCGTATACTTTTGAAACACAGTGTACATAGTACATGATTAAAAACTTTTTATATAAATATTTTAAAAAAACAAGACAAAATATAATATATTAAGTAGAAATATTTGTGTAGTTTAAAATGTCAAAGAGAGAAGTTAATACTTATTAAAATTTTAATAATCTCTAGATTTGTATTGCTATACTCAATTATAATAAAATCTAAATCTAGAGATATCCCTGATAAAAAATTAATAAAAAAATATTTTGATTATGGGCACTTATTTATTGAAGGAGAGGTGTTTTAAACAAAACATTGGAAGTGATTTTTTTTAATTTTTGGGAGAAATTCAACCTGAAAAGAGGAAAAGGCACGGCACTTAATTTTGAGGTGAGAGAATATATATAAATACAGAGATTGCTTTGATTGTTTAAAAAAAATTTTTTTTTTAAATTAACTAGTATATTTTTTGTAAAACTAAAATTTTTTTTATTTTTTTCAGTCATTTTTTTATCTTTAAATTGGCGGGCGTCCATTTTGGTAGTGCAATTGTGGACCAAAACTCCATCGAAAATCAACACCGTCACGGCTATTCATGTAAAGTAAAATGGCAAAAGAAGTGAAAAGGCCAATTAAACACATTAATAAGTAGGAACGCCAAAATGAGGAGGAGGAAATTGTTGGATGTTCTGATTTAGTTAAAAAACTAGATTGAGTTGAAGAATTAACGAGTAATGTTGGGGGAGATTTGGTAGATGGTGAATCTGAAAAATTAAATTATATATGGATTTTTAAAATTTCTAAAAAAAAATACTTTCAAAAGATGTGGTGACATTATTTTGTGCAATATTGACCACAAATGAATTGAAAAAATGATTTCCAAATCTAAAATAATTTTTTAAAATTAGTACAATAAAACAAGCAATTTAAAATACGTCTTTAAAATTTGTTTTGTAATTGTGTAGAGGAGCTGATTAGGCAATGACCCCCCATTTAGAATACAACTTAATATAAGTCGGGTTGCAGTTTTCGAACCGGGCCAATAGACTCTTTTCCAGACCGAAAATTCAAGCCCGATTCTATCCTTCAAACCGAACCGGGCCGGCAACCCTAATTATAAGACATTACTTTCTTAACCCTAATAATGCATCTTATGGTTGAGTACAATTGTATTTATTTAACGCCTCGAGTTAAAAAAATAACAAATTAACCTGTTTTTTAATTTTCTCAATTCTTCTTTAATTTCATTAAATTCTTTTGCAAATTTATTTGTATAATCCTTGTTACTACTTGTTTCTGTTAAATATTGTTTTCCTAATAAAATTGAAGATAAATTTTCACAAGTAGTTTCCAAAGAATTTATACGTTGTTGCAAAAGTAGCAAATTTGAATTAATGCTCTGAAAAATAAAAAGAATTTAAGGTAAATACAATAAGTGTGAATAATGCAATTTGGCTCTAGTTTATGCGTCCCATAAATTCTTTGATCTTAAAAGTTGGAGTTGTATTCCTTAATGGTTTATGGATTCGGAACCTATGACCGTTGATTTGGGACTACCCGTCAAATTACTCATAAAAGTTTGGGTAGTTTTCTAAAAAATTTTACAAATCGATTATATAGGCAGTCCAAATTAAACGGGACTCATAAATTGGAAAAGAGCCAGTATTCCTATTAATTAAAATAAAAATGTGTTTACCTTAGAAAAGTTAAAGCCATTGCTTTTATTCTCATCAAATCTTTCATCCAATGAATTACAAAGATGTGAAACAGATGTAAATGTAGAGTTAAGTTCTTGAAATAGAACCGAAGTCCCATCAAAAGATTTGTCCACAAAAGTTAACAATTCTCTCAAACGCTCATTTAAATTTTGACTTTCTGATAAAATTTGCCGAAATTTGTCATAAAAGGAAGAAAAAGCCTTAAACAAAAATAAAAGTAAAAATAATCATTTATATTGTTGAATTCCATTTTTAGCTACTTCCTACTTTCTGGGACTTAAAAATTGTCTTATAATGACGGTTGACTTATTGTTAGATTATTGGGGGTACCCTCACCAGTCCAACCAAATTTATAAAAACCGTAGTGTCATATTTGATAAATTTTATTGGTCCCCTTTTTCGCAAGTACAAATATGGGGGACAGGACCTGCCAAACAATTTAGTTCTACTTCGTTAGCTTCTAAAAGTTTAAGAGAAGCGGTCCTGTCCCTCTTTCCCGCCACATTTTTATTTTCACTTTATTTAATTAAATAAACGTTTTAAAAGGGTATCACGACTTTTGCGCCGAGAACATTTGCGCCGCGACTTATGCGCCGCGACTTTTGCGCCGGGCGACTTTTGCGCCGCGACTCTTGCGCCGCGACTTTTGCGCCGGGCGACTTATGCGCCGCGACATTTGCGCCGCCATTGTTTAAAAAATCCGGATCCGAAAAATGCCGGATATCCGAAATTTTCAGTTCGGATATCGGATCCGGATATCCGAAGATTTCCAAGTATCCGACAACCCTACTAAATTGAGGTCCGGCTGTAGTTATTGATATATTTTTAATGATAGTGGCGGCGCAAAAGTCGCCCGGCGCAAAAGTCGCGGCGCAAAGGTTCCCCGGCGCAAAAGTCACTCGGCGCATAAGTCGCGGCGCAAAAGTCGCGGCGCAAGAGTCGCGGCGCAAATGTTCTCGGCGCAAAAGTCACGGAACCTTTAAAAGAAGGGAGTTAAAATTTGATCGGCAGACCACGACTCGCGGACTGGGTTCGCCCAACTCGCGAGGCCCAGCGGTTACGCTTATTTGTTAGAAGAATATAAACCGTAGATTAAACAGAAATATATTGGTATCGGGTATATTTAAAAATGATATTAGACTAAAAACCTTTTTAGTTTCATTAAATTCCCCATCCAAAAGAATATCCGGCAATTTGTCAAAAGAATTATCAACAGAAATATTCTGATAACCAATAAAAGCATCATCATCCCATTCAAAGTCATTTGAAAGAAAGCCATTATAAGCAGACAAATTTCGATAACGAGCATCTGAAGCACATTTTCGACGTCGATTATTTTGTATTTTTTGTTTAACTTCATTTTTGTTTAATAAAAGTGGAGGTTTAAATGAACGTTTTCGAGTATTTATTTTACGTCTTTCACGTTCATTTTCAGTAAAAGTACTCAAACTTTCACAATCATCTTCACTAAAAGGACGTCCAGAATTAACGAATATTTTGTCTTTTCCAAATAAATCCATTACTTCCTAAAAAATAGAAGCTAAATAAGGAGAGGATAATAATAAAATTTTGGGAGTTTTTGTCAAGAAAAATATGAGGGACTTAAGGCATTTATTCCCAGATAGCTTTAGTGCCAAAGTAAAAATTTATAGAATTTTATATTTTCTTCCCAACATTTTACCCTTCCCACATTAAGGAGGGGCTGTCAAAGGTGATTAAAAAATTAATACTTCAAATTCATTAAGCGGCCGATTTTCAGGCGAATCCACATGCACAATTAAGGAATCAGTTAATTCAAGTTTGCCCTGCCCAATTTTTTCTTCAAAATCTTGCAATATTTTTTGTGTCAAGTATTTCCCTCCTTCTTGTCCAAATCCTCCCTCGTCTGTATCTAAATCAGTCATTCCATAATCGTCAAGAGGTACTGTTCGATAAAAACTTTTTTCTAATTCATTGCTTTGTGCAATTTGTTCGGCCCAAAGAGGTGGATCTACATCATTTTCTTTATATTGTTCACGATAATCCTCTCCTATCTAAAAATGTTAAAAAAATATTTTGGAATAAAGTTTAAGCTAGAGAGTCGGAAGCATGCTAACCTACCGCAAGCTACCTATAACTTCGTTCAGAATTGTCGAATCCGTGACGACTTGGTATGGCTCGATGTGCCTTGACGAGCTGAAACGAACCATAGCAGGTCGTCCCGGATTCTACCATTTTAAACGAAGTTATAGCTCTGCGGTAAGTTGAAGCTCGCGGTAAGTTGTGTACCCTGAAGAGGAAAACTAACTTACAGAGGTATAGATGCGGGTTGCCCAAAGGGAACTGCCCTTGTTTTTGTCCCAAAAATCACTGGGGTGAAGTTTCGAGCCAATATTGCTATTCAAGTTTACCAACTCACCGATTTTGCATTTGATATTATTTCGTGAACTGAATTATTCTCCCCACTAGAGTAACCAATGTCAGAACCTAACGGCAATGGTTGTTGTCGTTCATGTCTCACACCATCCATTACAAACGTTGCCTTTGTAGCTAATAAATCATTTGATTGGTACAAATCTGTAGTGATTGGGAGATTCTCAAATATCTTTTCTTCAATTTTTGTCTCAAAAGTTTTTCGTCGCTTCGGATCTGGACCTTCTTCCAACTCTGAAGACAAATCTTCCTTGTCCTCAGTGAAAAGGCGTTTCTAAAAAAAGAAAATATAGCAAAATATCCTCAAAAATTAAATTTTAGATGACAAAAAAAAGAGAATCAATAGCCTGTGTATAATTAACCTACAGCTGTATAATAAAGTTAATGAGAGAGAAATTTTGTCTATTTTCATTCAAAACAAAAAAGCTTTTCCTCAAAATTCTCTCTTTCACCTCCCATAGCTTATCCAACTAAAAGACAGGTATGCAAACAGCTAAAAAAAGGAGACGCGCTTTCTACAAAATACATTCAAAAGCAAAAATTTTAAAGGGAATATATAATTTCTTTTGATTAAATGTTATTATATGAATAGAAAAGGCTGTAAAATAAAAAGGCTAAAAATCATACAAAATAAGAATGCTAGGCCAGAATCGGGGAGGAAAATTACTAATCGTAAAGAAATAGAATTAAAAATGAATAGCAAACAGATTCGTCATGGAAACTTAAAAATGGAAGAGAAGTGAGGGGAATGAATGGAAGAAAATCGGTTGAAGGACATATTGGCTTAAGCAAGAAAAACATCGAAATCCACCAAAATTTACAAAACTGCCGACTCATCGGGACATTCAAAACAAGTTTTTCTGGGATTTTTATTCTATGAAAGAAATAAAAAATAAAATAAGTACTCGATATAAAGGGTTGAGGTCGTTTTGGCGCCGGGCCGTTTTGGCGCGAGAACTAAAAACTGGCACTTAGGTGAGACCTAAATTTTTAAAATTTTTCTCAAATTTCTTTAACATCCTTGACTACCTGCTCCAGAAATTTCAGAATTTTTCATAAAATATTTCTGAAGTTATAGTCGATGGACCTCGAAAAATTAGGCATTTTTCAGAAAATCGACATTTTTGGCCATAATTTCTAAAATTCTTGCTCAAAAATTCTGAAATTTTTGGAGAACCTAGATAAAGGTACGAGAGTTATTATTACAAAATTTTATCATTTTTGATAAACAACTCGCTATCTTATAAGCTCGCGCCAAAACGGCCCAGTCCCGATATAAATTGTTTCTTAAGCATTTTTAGTGATAAGAAAAAAAGTATTAAGACGAGAAAATCAAAATAATAATTATTTTTGAAAAGCATAAGAATATTGGAGAGAGACGTATATTTATTATTAATGTGCTAAGGAATATTAAAAAATAAATATATTTTTTTAAAAACAAAGATTTTTTTATTTCCTAGGACAGGTGCTTTTTCATGCTGACAGATTCATAAATGAGGGAAAAACAAAAAATTATTCCCAACAATTTATTTGATCATAGTAAGAAATAATTGAAAAGGACGAAGGAAAGAACAAAAAAGAAAAGGTGAATTGTTGAAAAAATGAAATTCAAGGATTAATCGAGCAAAGAAAAAAATGTCTATGAGTAAAATAGAAACATTCTTACAGTAGCTATGTTGACTAACAATAGAGAAATAAAAGAATTTTTTAATTACCTTAAATTGAACAATTAATTCAAAACTCTCCAAACTGGCCAACCAAAGTGCCAGATATCGTTGTTCAAGAGTGTCAAAAAGTTTTCTATCGGTAGAAGTCGACCTTTGGATGTTTAATCTAGAAAATTAAAACAAAAAATATTTTTTTGTAAAATTAATTTCTACCTGCAGAGTAATTTACGGCCTTCTTTTTGAATTTGCTCTTGTAAATACTAAAAAAATAAAAATCATTTAAAATTATTCAAAAATAATTCAAAATTTAAAAATAAATACAAGTGACAGTAGCGAGGTAAAAAAATTTATGCGCGAATAGTCGTGAGGAAAATTAGGGGGGAAGGATAACCTGAAAATCACAAAAACAAAAATTGGGGCCATTATAATGAAGGTATATTAATAGAAGGAGAGAGACTGGCTGATGACCAATTTTGCAATTTTTAAGTGGACGTGCTTCGCTAGTCGATTGTCAATACAGAGGGGCTAATGTCAAAACAAGAAATGAGGAAAGTGCAGAAAAGAAAATATTATTTTGGTTGAGGTAGATGAATATGTAGTAGAAAAAAAGGTTAATCGCACACACATCTGTGCGCGAATGGAAGAGCATGCAACAATTAATTTGGTGTTAGATTTTGAAATATTTTCCAGGAAACCTTTGGGTAATTTAGAAATAAAGAAAAATTGAAGGAAATATTTTTTAACCTTTTTAAACATAAAATAAGTAAAGGACAGACTAAATAAATGAATAAAAATGTAATTTTTTCTAAATCAATTTTTCATCTCCGAAATTTTAGAGTGTTATGTCACGATGTGAAATTCGAGAATAAGAAAATATCTTCAAAAAAGATTTATTTAGATAAGTAAAGTCGATTAAATCATACTTTTACTAGTTGAAAATGCTTGAAAGAAAGAAAAAAAATATAGAGGGATGAGTATAAGACATATGGCTTTGATAGAAAGCTAAATGTTGAATTGAAAATTTATTTAGGAGGAGGAAAAAGTGTGAAAGGTTATAAAATTGAGAAGATGATTTATTTTTAAAATTATTTTAATTAATTTAAGGTTGAAAATAAAGAGTTTTTATTATAAAAATGTTTATTTTAAAATTAATAGCGGTTAAAATAATAGAAAAAAAAGAAATAGACATTAAGAACATCTGCGGAATTTAAAAGACAAAAGAAAAACTTTTTAAGGTTAATCTCTAATTTGTATTTTAAATTCTTTTATGATTAAAACAAAATAAATCCTTTCATTAAAGTAAATAATTAAAAATAGAAAAAATATATTTTTCTTTTATAAGACTTAAATAAAATAAAAACAGATGCGCAAACTTTTGTACAAAAACTATGTAAAAATAAATTTTCTAATATGATTAAAATTGTAGGAAAAAGGTAAATAGTAAAGAGGAGAAAAGGAAAATTAATTGGATAATAAAAAAAGAATGTTTTTAAGGGTTCCCTATTTGTGAAGAAATTTTCCAATTCAAGTTTTTTGTTTAAAATTCTCTTCCACTCCCCAAAAACAGCAGAGGTGGGTCGTAATTCCGATTTCGACGTTTTTTTCCTTCCGATTTGCGAAAAAATTTTTATTTCCGGTTTCCTACTTTTGAGACAGTTATGATTTCCGGCTTTTCCTATTTCCGACACCTCCGACTGTTCCGACCTACCTCTGCCCAGGAGGAATGGAAGAAACAAATCAACTCAAATAAAAATACTCGACCACAGGTAAAGGTTAAACGAGGACTGGGAGACGAAGAAAACGAAAAAAAGAATAATTTTTATGTATAAAATAAATATTGCGGTAAAAAAAGAAGAAGATGGATTTAGTATGGTTATATAGTTGAGATTAGTTGGGAAGATAATCTGATAATCCCAACATTCAATGCGGGATACATAAAAAATCAAGGTCAGCCATAAAAATGGAGAAACAAGAAACAGAATTAAAATAAATAAATATATTAGTTAATTTAAGAAAATGGATTACAAATTTCGGCACATTGTAATAAAAGTTCTCAATGTTAGTCAAGGTAATAAAACTTGGTTTAGTGTTTAGAAATGGAAGATAATCCCGGTAGAATTTTTAATGTATAAATCGAGTCAGGGTTTTTCTAAGAAATCCAATACAGATCAGTAAAAAACATAGTCCAGGCCCAAATAACAAGGGTGTAGCCAGGGTCGGAGTTCAAAGGAGGTGGCTAGGTTGGGGTGTGCGCCGAAATTTTGCGATTATTTCGAGATTAACAAAGTAGTGTGTGATAATGGAAATTAATTTTGTTCCATTGTATCTAGTTCAAAAGTTCCGGTAGGCTCGTAGCCAGGGATGGTAGAGCCTACGGCCTTCGAAATTTAAAAAATTTTCGCCTGCGGCGCTGAAAATGGAAGAAATATGGCTTCTTGGCCTTCCAAAATTCTCAAAATTTTACGCTAAAAATTAAAATTTTTGGCGCCTTCGGAGCCAAAAAATCAGCACAGATCTAACCTAATCTATTTTTTAATTTCTAATCCAGGAACAAGAGCGTAGCCAGGGGATAGATTTTGGTTACTTGCCAGGAACCAAAAATAAGATCCTGCTTTCAATTCAGACGCAAATAATTTAAAATAAAATATATTTTCACAAACCTTTTGTTCCAATTCCAAATCCTGTAGCGACGAAAGAGAATTACGAGAAAAAGGAATCTTTTGTCGAATACGTGCCAAGTCCAATTCTTGTCTGCACAGCCATTTTCGAAATTTAGAGGCCATTACAGAATTTGAAGAATTATTTTCCTCCGGTTCCTCCTCTTCCTCAAAAGTTTTTTCGTTCTCTTTTTTATGTTGTAATTCAGACAATGCTTGATATACACAATCCAAACGAAGTTGGATATTTGTAGAGAAAGTTGGAAAACGAACAGAAAACCATTGAACTTCTCGAGAAAGCAGGTCAGCTTGAAAAACAGAATTTTAATTAAACAAATAGAAAACAAGTAACAAACCGTCTAATTTAAGTTTTGACATTGACAACTTCTAAAAATTTAATAAATTAATTTGTTAAATTTATAAAAATTTAAATAATTTAATTATGTCTTTCATCCAAAATTGGGAAAGCAAAAAAGTTAAAAAAAATTTGATTATTAAACCCGCATTTCAAGTTTTAAAGTTAGTCTAACAATAAAAATCTAACAAAAAATACCAAAGTAACCAGGCAAAATTTTCAGGGGTTAAGGGGAAGGGGGTATTTAGCAACATTTTTTGCCAAAAAAATTCTGATAATTTTATCAAAAAATTCACTCTTGATAATTGTCCTTCAATTTTTTAATTTTTCCGATTTGGGGGGAGGGGGGGGGAGGAGTATATGACAACACAATAATCGATTTTCATAACAGAAAATTTATGTTAATGTTTTTTAAGTGATTGGAGGAAAGGGATATCAAAGAGCAGAGAGATAAAACTTGAAATTTTTTATTAACCGGTCTCCCATTTAAATTTAAAATAAAAATTAATTTTATTATTCAAAAAACAAACGGAAAATTCAGAGCCATTTAAAACATTAGCATCTTTTATTTGGTTCCATAACCCAGAACAACGTTCTTCCATCAACCCAATTTCATCCAAATTAGGCTCTTCTAAATCCTCTATTCCTTCTAAATTTTGTTCACTTGTCTCATCAATTATTTCATCAATTTTCTCAGTTTCAGAGAAAAAATAATTATCGCTAATATCCATTCTTCTTTTTATTGAAGAAATTAAATTTAAAAGTTTTGATTTTTTGGTTGAAACGATCTACTAAAAATAAATATTTAAAAATATTTTAACGGAGCACCTCAGTTTAGTCTGGATCAGTTCAGTATGGTCTCCATTTAAAGAGAGATGGAGATCTTATATCCACTTATAACTCATCAAGGAATAATCACTTTTTCATGTTCTTGGTATCATTGGATAGAGAATCAAAAGCTCTACAACATATCAAAAAATCAGAATTTTTGACCTATTGATAAAAAAGTTATGAAATAAAAACCAACTTTTCCAAAAAAACGTGATTTTTTGGCACTTTTTCGATCACAACTTTTTTACCAGATAGTCAAGAATTTTAATTTTCTGGTATATTACAGCTTATTTAATGCTCTATCAAATGGTACCAAGAGGAAAAAAAGTGACAACCCCTTCAAAAGTTACAGGTCGCGCGACTGAACTGAGCCCAGATTGAAACGAGGTGTACCCATATTTAAATTAAAAAAATATACTTTGTTTTTTTGTTTTGAGTAAATGTTGGTTTTGACCGCCAGTTTTTATTCTTTTAAAGAAATTCAAACAATCATCACTCAAAAAATCATCGAAGAATAGTTGAAGATAAAGGAAAATTTAAAGAAAAAATAATTTTTCGTCTCCTCAAGGTTGGAGACTAAATTGTGTAGATATCTAAAAATAAAATAAGAATTTTTGGTTAAAATATATTGGCTAAAATAAAAAAATTAATGGTTGGGCAAAATAAATAAAAAGAAGGCAGAAAAAGAAGGCAAAACTAATCCAATTTTAAAGATTAGCAAACAAACAAAAGAAGGCTTAAGGGGTCACTTGGGCAATAAATATATTCTCAAAGACCAATGGATATTTGTTTATACATAAATAAATTGAAAACAAAGAGAGAGGAAATAGAGTAAAAATGCCAATTAAAAATAAGAGAAATTGAAATTTTCTAGTCAAAATTTCAAAAATTTTAAGTTCAGAAAATGGGACACGCCCGAGTAGGCGCGGGCCAAGTAGGCGCGACCGAGTAGGCGCGACCGAGTAGGCGCAGGCCAAGTAGGCGCAAGGCCAAGTAGGCGCACGGCCCAAGTAGGCGCAAATCTTTTAGCTCAAAATATTCAAATTAAAAAATAAGTCAGCATAAATATTTTTATGTTAATGAGTTAGAAGATAGATTCTTGATGAAAATTAGAAGAAAGGTACCTATTTTAGAGGAAAGACACCTTAAATATCGATATCCTGTAGTATACGTTCGCACTGTACGCATTAACTAGGCAGTTCAAAAGTCTATATTTATTTTTTAATCCATTAAAAGCTTTTAATCATCAAAAGACTCCTCTGTAGCTGGACTTTTTTGTGAAACGCCTTGAAGAAGTTTTTAGTCGTATCTTGATTGTTAATTGTACCTTTGTATAAACTTCATGTTCCCTTAAACTAGTTAGTTCCTAAAGGCTAACTAGTTAGTACAGGTTAATTATTCATTACATTCCCTTAAACTAGTTAGTCCCCCTTAAACTAAAACTAGTTAGTATTCATAACATTGGTAAGCCACAGGAATTATCAAAGCAGCAAGGCTTTTACTAATTAACAAACCTAGCCAGTAATCCAAAATTTATCAACAGCTAAGTATGGAGCTTTTATGAGAAAAATATTAAAAGAAATTTTTTTAATTTTATCAAAAATCAAAAACATCAACGAGCTTCACTTAATAAATTTTTTTCCCTAAGAAGGGCAGTTTTGGAAAAAGTCCAGTGTCCACATAAAGTTGCTTGATTATTCAGCCAATTAATTAACAAAATTAGTTGAAGATTAGCAAAAAAATTTTGAGCAAAAATTAGGAAATTTACTCTTGCGCCTACTTGGGCCGTGCGCCTACTTGGCCTTGCGCCTACTTGGCCTGCGCCTACTCGGTCGCGCCTACTCGGTCGCGCCTACTTGGCCCGCGCCTACTTGGGCTGTACCCTCAGAAAATCATAGTGACATTTTGGCCAAAAAGCGGTTACTGTATAGTTAAATTTTGCTCATCAAGATTTATCGGTTATTTATTTTAGTGACCGTCAAAAATCCCGCATGCAGTATATTTTAAAAATTCTTTGCGGGAGAGGATCCTGCGGGATAAATCTCGCAAAATTCTGAAAATCAAAAAATGCGGGCTTGCGGGGGCAAAATCCCCCTCCGGTCACTAGCTTATTTTTTTGGCGCCAAAAATTCGTTTTTTTGTTCCTACATAAGAGAAGGCTTAAAAAAGAAAAGGGTCACTTGGCTTAAAGGGTCAATTTAAGTCAAAAGACTTAAAGGGTCACTTGGGTTGCATTCCAGAACCTATGGCCACTTTTCGTTCCCAAACTCCTACTTATCACCAACCTTTTCACGCATTACTTCGGAAAAGTTTAAAGAGGGTCACTTTTAAGTAAAAACAAAACAAAAAGGAAAAATTGGGATAAAGCTGTGAATGCAGCAATCGATTGAAAAGAGAAGAAAAGAGGGGGGAGATTGGCTGTTTTACAAACACTATGTAGCCCAAACATTAAAGAGAAACTAAAAAAAGTATGAAGAAACAAACAAATAGTGTACAAATGATACTGATTAATGTGAGCGAGAAAAAGGAAAGAAAGAAGGGGCCATTTATTCCAAATTGTTGGCTGCAAATAAAAAATAATAGAAAAAATTGCCAAAAAGTTGTAGTAATTCTAATTTTTGGGAACAATCCAGAAGATCAAAACCCAGAAGGTCAAGTCCAAATATTTGGCGGATAAAGAAGGATTCGTACAGATTAATTTGTAAGATGGATTTTATTAAGCAGAACTGGTCATGGATACGGATATGGATACAGATAATATCAAGATGCATGCGGATATCCGCCTGTATCCGCCATAAATATCCGGATACGGATACCAAAATCAGTATCCATGCCAGGTCTGGTATTAAGTGGGATACCGATGGATTTGGACGGATTAATAGGGATTTGTTGGAAGAGGAGAAATAAGACGGAAATTCTCTCTTGCAGCTGTCAGATAAGCAAGAGGGAGCAGTCCAACGTATTCTTGATCTTGAGCCCTCTTTATCCGCCCAAATATTTGGATTTGAACTTCAAGCTCTTGACTTTCTGGGTTTTGACCTTAAGGGTTGGATCCCTATATTTTTATTACATTTTTGCGTTGATTTTTTTACAAATTTCATTTGAAAATTGGAGAAAATTAGGAATATTTAGGTAGAAAATAGGAATAAATAAATTCCAAGCCGAAAATTTTGTTACATGCATGTGAACAGAGAGGAAATAACTAAATATAAAGAGGAAAAAAGAGGGGGGGGGGAAAGGAGGTTTAAAAGTAGACCCATATTGGTTTGTGTTTGCAAGAATTTTTGGTGTTGATGGCTTGGAAAGATTTTGAGATGCGCAGTTATTTGAAAAAAGAAAAAAGAAGAAGATAGATTACTCTACAAAATTAAAAATTAATTTTTTATTTTTTAACGTTATTTATTGATTTTTTTCTAAAAAAATTAAAAAAAAATTTAGTAAAGAATAAATTCTTCGAATAAAAATTTTTGTGAAACAAGAATTTTGGGGAATAAAATCAAATAAATCTTTGTGGTTTTAACAAACGAAGATTGCTATAAAATGATTGTCGCCGCTCTCCTAGTAGTACACTGATTAATCGACCTTTCCATCTGTCAGATCCGATTGGATCAAATCGGCTAGTGTAATTTACACAAATATGTGTATTATTTGACTGCCATCAAAATGAGGTTAAATGTAAAAGAAAGAAGCGTTTCTTTAATTTGTAATAAATAATTGATTCTTCTTTGGAAAAATATGTAGGGATTTATCCATTATACGCCCACAATCTGAGTGCCAGCCGCTATAACTTTTTGTTGTTTGATCCAATAATAATGAATTTTTTATATCATTCGAAAGTACTCGATAAGCGGTAATCTTTTCCGACTTGATGGATTTGTTATGCTCGTTTAAAAATCATAGCCCGATAATTTGTAAAAAACACCAAATACTTATTGGGTTATAACTTTTTAATAAGTGATTAGACTTGATCTACCCTATTAGAAAAAAGATTCAGTTGATCGAGGGCTTTCGGATGATACAAAATAGATTTTTATTAGATCAGGTATCAAAAAGTTATAGCCGATCAGTCGGCTGGCGCTCAGTTTGTTGATGTATAACGGATAAATACAGAAAAATATGTATCCGAAGAATTTTTCAGGAGTTTCGCTGCTTTTGATACTAAAATTTCAAGTTTAGTTTCAAGTTTTTATTCTGAGAATTTACTAGAACTGATTTTATTGAATTCTTAATTTAACGACTGATTGTGAGAACCATTTATAAAAGTCATTTAAAATAAGCATTGGGAATGAAATAAAAACTCATTTACAATGAGAGCGGAAAGGTAAATTTAAATAAAATATGTTTGATTTGAGTTTTGATAAGAAATTGAATATAAAGGAGAATAAAATTAAAAGATGATTTTTGGGGTTGTAAAATAATAAAAAGGACAGAAACACTTAAAATTAATAATTTAAATAAGGAAAATATTGCTCTATATATGGGATATATTGAATTTCGACCAAACTTACTGTGTAAAATCCAATAATTTTCGAATTCAACTTTGTATTCAATTTTATCAGATTTTTGATCTCTAATATAAACTATAGTTTAACTAAATTAGAGATATTTGTTAAATTCAGCTGATAAAAATTGTAGATGTACTAAATTTTAGATGGACTCTCATTTTTACTACAAATATCTCTAATTTAGTCCTCATCATTTGGAGACAAAATCCATATATGACTAACTACATATATTTTGTAAAAATTTATTTTTGTTTAAAAATTCAGCTGATAAATTTAAAGAATTTCAGCTGATAATTATTAAATGGTTAGATACTTTATTTAAAATATTTTAATTTAATTAAACAAACAAAAATTGATACTTTTTCACTTTTAAAAAAATAAATGTTTATTTATCATTCTTCTCCAAAAAACACGAAGATTTAAATTAAATATCTGATTTTTACATCTCCAAAATACACATCTCGGTTGGAATAAATTTTCTTCGATCCAAATAGTGTTTCTACAATAGAGGTAAATATTTTCCGATTGTATCAAGAAATCTGCAATTTTCTTCGGATTAACTAAAATTCTCGACAAAATCACAACATATACCTAAATACCTAGTTCTTTCTCTCTTTTTTTAGTTTGATGGGAAATTTCCCAATGGGAACTTCCCAAAAATGTTAAAAATAAAGAATTGGATAACGGCTTTACATTTTTAATTTTCAAATGATTTCTGTAATTTTTATTGGTGAATTTATTTTTATAAATATTTTCTCTAAATATTTTGAATAAATATAACCAATAAATAAAAATAAAAATAGAATTTCTATCTTTCTGTATTTTGTCATAAGCCTGCCAGCAACACAAAAACACACACTCCAAATGCATAATATATTTTAAACACATTTTTTTCTAAAATCAGAAGAATTTCTATTTTTGATAAATTTTTCTTCTGACTAGCCCCCTCTCTCTTTAGAAACAAATATTTAATAAAAATCACACATTTACTTACTAAAAATATAAAAAGAGAAATTCAAATTAAATTTGTTATTTAATTTAAAAATTACTATTAATTTTATCAAAAATTTTTTTAAATTTAATATTTACCTTTAAAAATTACTTAACTAAAAATTATTTTAATTAGTTATTGGTAAAACTAAAATTCTTTTAATTATTTACTATGCGAGTCAAACCGATAGGAGATAACAGAAAACAAAATATTTAAGGCAAAAGATTGATTCTGGAGAGTTTCAGCGTTGTTCTGAACATTAATTTAGAAATTATTTTTTAAATTTTAAATTATATTTAATATTTTAAAAGTAATTTACTTAAATATTAATTTTCTTTAAAAACGACACTAATTTTGAATTAAGGCATTTGCGTTCCAATGCTAGCGCAAAAATTCTAAACATTTTTATTTTTTAAAAGAGAAAATTTTAAACAGAAAATACAAATATTGATACAAAATATGTAGTGTCAAAAATATTAAAATATTTTTTGAATTCCAATTTTTATTTAAAATTTTTCGGCTGCAAATACCTTATCGAAAATTCTTTAATGAATTAATCTTATTTTTTAAATTACATATAAACAATAAATATTTAAAAGAAAAACTTTTATCTTTCCCAATTATTTACCTTTCCTCCTTAAAATATTTTTTGCATCAACATTTCATTGAAATATTTTCAATTCTTCCTACTAAAAACATTAATTTTTAAAAAAGCAGAAATTGATAATAATTAAATAATTAAAAATTATTTTCTATAAATTTTTAGCATAATTTTATTTTTTTCTTAAATTCCTTAATTTATCAGTAAACTCCCATCCCTCCCTCCCCCTCCTTTCCTTTCCCTCCCCTCCCCCTCCTCTTTATTTGTTTATATAAATATTTATATATTTTTTAAAAATTACTGAAAATTATTCTCATTTTTTGAAATGATAAAAAGAATTTTTTTAAAATAAATTTATTAAAATTATTTTTAATTTTTCTCCTTTCTTTCAATTTTTTAAGTTAAATTTAAAGTGGTAAAAAAAGAAAAACCTAAACAAACATTCCCGTTTACCTTTCAATTTTTAAAATTGATTTGCTAAACAAAAATCTTTTTTTTTATTAAAAAATTGAAGAGGGGGTTAAAATAATTTTTTAAAATTTTTCTTTCAATTTTTTAACATGTTTAAGCCAATTTATATTTAAAATAATTTTTTTGTTTGTATTTTATGAAAATTAAAAAAAATTAAAAAAAAGTTCTCTTTTCTAAGGTACAAGAAGTTTTTTATACTTCCTTAATTCTCAAAAAATTTTTTTTCTAAAAACCAAAGGTTATTAAAAATTAAGAATTTAATTTTCAAATATTAACATTCGAAAGAATAATTTAATTTTCAACTACTATTTACATTTAAATATATGTATAATTCTTTTAATTACTCTAATCTTTTTTTCAAATAATTTTTAAATTAAATTATTTCACTCAAATTTTTTAAAAATAATTTTTATTAAAGATTTTTGAAAAAAAATGTTAAAATATACCCACAGTAGCAATAAAAATAAACCTCAAATTTCTTCAATTTGTTCGAATATAAATGAAGGTTTTGTGTCTGAAGAAGGGGCTAATAATTTTAAAAAATCTTCCCAACCATCAATTAATAATTACGCGGCATCTATTTCCTCCTCAACATCTTCTTCTAATTTTTCTTTAAATTCTTTAGATATAAGAAAAGATGGATATTCGTTAGTTTTTTTATTTTGTTAAAATTTTTTTTTGATTAGGACGAGGAGGGAAGGGAAGGGGGTTTGGAAGTTCGATACTTGTTTGGGGCCTATTAGTTAATATAATTGTTGGGTTAGTAATTATTTGGGTTAGGAAGAACTCGATTCTAAAAATAGCAAAATTACAAACTTTTAAATGTTTTTATTTGTTCTCTAGTTTGTTTTTCAAGCAACTATAAAAATTTCAGAATTTTTGGTTAATTATTTGTTGGGTTATGGCTGGAAACGGCAAGGTCACTCATTTTTTAGTTTACAGTACATGGTGGATTTTCAATAATTTTGGGAAGAATAATGAGATTAATTAAGTATTTAAATTAATTTTTGGGTTATTATTGAGAGTAATTAGTTTAGACAAAAATTTAAAAAATATTCTTTAAAAATAGCCAATAATTAATTAAAATTAAAAAAATTTTTTTAAAGTTATGTAGCAATTCTTGTTAATTTCCTCAAAGGAATGATTGGACCAGGCTGTTTATCCCTTCCATTAGCTTTTAAACAAGCTGGGCTTTGGGTACTTTCTAGTTTTAATTTTAAATATTTCTGTTTAAAATTTTCAGACAGCCCTTTTCTTGGTATTTTTTCTTGGTTTTCTAAATTGTGTTTGTATGAATAAATTGGTTAGATGTGCTCAAATACTTTGTAAAAGGTAATTAAATATTGGAATATTAACATGTTAAAATTATTTAGAAAAGGAGATTCTTTCCTAAGTTATGGAAATATGGCCTATGAAGCAGTTTCTGGTAGTTTCCGTCCTGTAAGAAAATATGCAAGAATAGCAAGGTGAATATTTTAATTAAAAAATTTAACAGTCGTGGAGGGGAGGGACTGTCCAAGTTATAGTACACCACAGAGATGTTACGGGTTACCTAGACCCGATTCTCAAAATCCGGACTTCTTCCGATTCGAATCCAAAACTTGATCAAAAGAAATGTTGAAAACCTCATCCGAAACCCGACCTGATATTTCTCAGCCTGTCCCATCCCTGGTAAACCACCTCTTAGAAATTTTTTGTTTTCCTAACATTTTTACTATATTTTTCAGAATTTGTACAAATGCCTCAATAATTTCACTTCAAATGGGTATTTGTAGTGTATTTTATGTTTTTTGTGCAATTCACCTTAAAGAAGTTTTTTAATTTTTTTTAAAAAAGTTTATCATTTTTCTAGTCCAATGAAGAATTTTTCCCTTCCTCTCCTTTTAAACCAACAACAATTCAATGGATGTTTATTATTTTTCTTCCTTTTTTAATTATTAATTTTGTCCGTTCTATAAAGCCAATAGCCGTTATTAGCATGATTGGAAATGTTGTATGTCTAATCTGTTTAGCTTTTATTTTTCAGGTAATTTTATAAAAATATTTATTTTTTAGTATATTTCTGTCTGATTATAATCTTTTAATATTTGGTGATCTTATAAGGATTTATCAATTATTAAAGTAAATAGAAAAAAACCAATCTTAGAAAATTTAAATGTTTGGAAGGGATTGATAAGGTTTGAAGCAAAGGGGGGGGGCCGGAATTCCGATTTCCGAAAAAATTTTGATTTTCTATTTCCGAGTTCCGACTTTTGAGCCAGTTCCGATTTCCGACACCTCTGACTGTTCCTACCCATCTCTGGTTTGAAGTAAAGTTTATATATATCCTTCCAAACATCCCTTCCATGAGTTAGAGTAGTTTCTACTTTTACTGTATAAAATAGGCTAGGAGAAGACATGGCAAATCTTACAATAAATAAAAAACCACTCTTAATTTCTCCCATATTTTATAAGAGGGATATTTATAAAGGAATATTTTTAAAAATAATTTTTTAAACCCAATTTAATTTAACAACCTTTTACAGTATTTAATAAGAATAGAGGATCGAACAATTAAATTACCTCGAGTTACCGATTTTGAAGGAATTATGGCTGCGTGTGGATCTATTCTTTATGCATTTGAAGGGCAAGCAATGGTAAAGAAATTGAAGAAATATTTAAATAAAAATTATTTTTTTAAAGGTACTTCCTTTAGAAAATAAATTAAAAAAGCCTTCCCAAATGGTTGGAACTTTTGGAATTTTGTCAGTAGGAATAGCTGCTGTCTCGGTTATTTTTGCTTTGTGTGGTTTTCTTGGGTTTACTGCATTTGGGAATGATGTACGTGGAAGTATTACTTTAAATTTGCCACAAGATAATATGTAAGTTTAATTAAAAGAGTTTTGAATGGAAAAAGAAAATAAACAAAAAATTTGTTCCTTTAGAGGGTATCCAAATTAATTATTTCTTTTCTATGATACTTTCTACTTTTGGACATAATAAATAAGCTAAATAATAAATAAGCATATGTATATATGTAAATATAAGAGCATTTTATTTAAGCCCGAACTGGATGGGTCGAACGAGAATCGAGATCTCGGATGAACATCAAACCCGATAATAGATATATGTATTAGTTCGGGATTCCTTCTCGGTTTAACCTTTATTCCACATTACTTCCCTTTCAACACAAAATACTTTCTGTATTTCTAATTAACATTTTTAAATCTAACTAAACCAAAAAAATATTTTTTTAAAGCCAATTTTCTCTTCTTCGATTAGCCTTAACACTTGTTATTTACCTTGGTTTTGTAATTCAACTATACGTTATTGTTGATATGCTTTGGCCTGCACTTTGGAAAAGATTGGAAAGGAGAGGGGGATTTTGCTCTTCTGTTAATTTAAAATTACCTTTTGAATTGGCTTTAAGAACTTTTTTGTTGTTTATTATAAGTAAGGGGGGGGGGATATAAATAAATAAAGAAATTCATTTTTAATTTAAAGTGATTTTTGGTATTGCTGTACCTAATTTAGAAGAACTTATTCCACTTGTTGGTGTTACTACAGGTAAATAAATACAAAATAATCAGAAAGCATTGTGCTTTGTGTTTATCTTTTTAATTTTAAGAATTTATAAAAATTTTCCATTAACTGACGGGATAATAAAATATAATAATAAGCAATGTGATACTAAACTAAACGAAGTTTTTGATTATTTTTTTGTTGAAAAACAAAAATGTATATCCAGACCTATCTTACTTTTAATAAAAACTTTTTATTAACTATCTATAAATGGAATATTTAATCTGATTAAGCATCAGTATTTCATTACCTTGATTATAATTTTTAAAATTTTTCGGTTCCAAAGGGGGTTACTGCTATTTTCTTCTTCAAAATATAAACAATTTAATTAAAGCTACAAATGGGAGCGGGCCAACGTACCGCAGAGCTATAACTTCGTTAAAAATAGTCGAATCCGGGACGCCTAGGTATGGTTCGATGCATCTCGACGAGTTGAATCGAACCATATTAGGACGTCCCGGATTCGACCATTTTGAACAAAGTTATAGCTCTGCGGTACGTTGGCCTCGCGGTACGTTGGGGTGTACCACGACAAATAACAACATTTTTCAATTAATATTTTTTTCAATTTTAAAGGAATGTTATTAGCATTTTTAATCCCTCCTCTGTTGGATCTACTTACTTGGCTACCAATTAGAATTAAAAGGAGAGAATATAAATTAGCTACATTATTAATAATTGAAGATTTAATTATGGTTTTAATTGGCCTTTTTGGAATGATTGCTGGATTACAGGCTAATTTAGTGAATATTTTTAAATAAATTATATGTTAATGTAAATATTAATTTTGAGAGATTTATTAGAAAATTTAATTTTTTTACTAAAAATTAATATTTTGTAAATATATTTAAAGAAGTAGAGAATGAATCCTTAAATTAAATCTCTACTAATTTTCTTTAAAAATATTTAAATATTTATATTTTTATTGTCTTTTAAATTAAAAGAATTAATAAATTTTATGAGCTTGAATAGTAATATTAATAAAAAAATTCACCGAAAGAATTTATGCAAAAATTTTTTTATAAATAAACTACAAAACAGTTAGAAATAATGGAGATTAAGCCATTCAAAGATTTTGTTTCGAATGTAAAAAATTCTTTGAATGACTTTAATAGAGTAGGTCAAACTTGATTTAGAACCTGCCTTTCAGTTTCGGATAACAAATAGGATTGTTCTTTCAAATTCCCCGACTTTCAGGGACGGGGAACAACCCTACTAACAAAGCTTGAGCTACTTTATGACTTCAAAAATGAAAATTTAAAAATAATTTGTAATAAATTGATAGATAGATTAGGGGTTTGAAATTTTCAGATTTAAAACTTTTAATGCTAAAAATATAGTAATTTTTGGTGTGTTTACTTTAATACTTTAAAATATACTTGAATATATGTACAAGTGTTTTTGACTAATAATAGAGTGTTAGTATGAGCTGAAATTTTTCGCACTCCTACCGTAAATCTTCTAATAGAACCACTTGTGCTTTAATGTTTCATCCTCTCATTTGGTGTGGTTATATTGAAGAGTGTGCTTTTTCAGAGATTGTGGTTCTATTAGATTTACGGTAACTGTAATGTTAGGGAAGAAATTTTTAAAAGTAAAGACAAATGAAGTCATCTCTTTTTAGTAGTGAATGAGAGAATTTCATTTCCCACATAAAAAATAAATGTCCAATTTTGGGAATTGGAAATTCCCAACACAAAAAACATAGGAAATTCCCGATTTTATGGAATTACGATATTTTTGTTAGTATTTGCGGGGGTTAAAATTAAAGATCATTATGTGACGCAATTAAGATTAAACAACCGTTAATTTCACCTCCGCAGGTAAAATTTTTTATTTTAGTGTCAATAGATAAAAAATTCAAATTTTTAACGATAAAAAATTCCAATAATTTTAGGAGATTATTAACCATTAACTAGCTACTAAAAAGAGTTGACTTTATAAAAAATTGCAGAATAATGTTTGATTTAAAAATTTTGTTCTACTAAGCAAAGTAATTTGCTAAACTAAAAGAATTTCTCTGAGACAGAGCTTTCACCATTACTAGCTCAATGCCAAAAGTAAATTCCCAGCAAAACTGCACCAACAATCCATCCAATCAAAGCTAATATAAACCAAACTCCTACAATAAAACCTCCACAATCGACCCAAACAACCTCAACAATATCTCGCTTCTTTCGAATTTTATTTTCGTTTTTTAAATTATCAAAACATCCATTCTTTGTTAAAAAATAGATTGAATTCTTTTTATCATCTTTATGTAAACTAATTGGAAAAGAAATGTTTGGACAGCTATCTCTGTTGTTTCCAAATTCATTGAAGCGACATTCTTTATTTAAAAAAGGAATATTAAATTAGGGTTGTTGGCTATCGGTACCCTCGATTTTCTAATATCTCGATTTTGAATCCCGGCTCTCATTTTTAGTCGACTTTTAGTCGTCACAAGCTAAATCTCCGACAAATGCAGTTTTTAGCGAGAATAGGATAGGAAAAGGTGAAAAGGAATAATTAAAATCTGTCAAAGTGTACTGAGTAAAATAAAAACCAACCTTTCTGATTATCCTTTATCCCCCGGCGATAACGAGTCTGTTGGCCATAATGGGAAACATAATTTTCATATCGAACTGGATCGCTAAATTGATATCCCAATTCTAACAATTCATTTGGATCATTAACAACATTTCCAGTATGAGGATTTATGATAGGTTGGTGCTGTGGAGGAGGAGGATTTTGATTTTCTCTTCGTAAAAATTCTGGTAGACGAATTTCAGGCAAATTAATTTCTGATAAATGAATAACAGGCACAGGGCAATTAATTTCACCGAAAGTCCACGCAACCAAAAAACTTGATCCTAATACACCAAGCAAACCGCCAAATCCAAGATATACAATGATAAAGAACGCCACCTTGTCAACCATATTATAATCACTAATTTGTTTGTGATAACGTTTTTTGCGGATTAATTGAATTGAATTAATTGAAGTGTTCTTAAATTAAATTTAGTTATTGTAAGGATGATTCACCTAGCAGCATTTAAAACGCTTAGGCGGGGGATAAACGATCTAAAAAGGAAAAAGAGAAAGCATTAGTCGATGCCCCGGTAGCTCAACGGTAGAGCTCCTGCATATAGTGAGCGAAAGCCTAGCAACAACTAGCAGGTGGTCGCAGGTTCGAATCCTGCCCGGTGGCTAAACTTTTGCAAACTCTTTCTGGTGCCGCTAACAGGGATCCCCACTTGCTGCTGGGTGAACCAGCCGATCCACGGTCATGGCGCTTGACCGAGGGACCGGTCTGATGTAGGGATGGAGATGTAAGGATGATTCACCTAGCAGCATTTAAAACGCTTAGGCGGGGGATAAACGATCTAAAAAGGAAAAAGAGAAAGCATTAGTCGATGCCCCGGTAGCTCAACGGTAGAGCTCCTGCATATAGTGAGCGAAAGCCTAGCAACAACTAGCAGGTGGTCGCAGGTTCGAATCCTGCCCGGTGGCTAAACTTTTGCAAACTCTTTCTTTATTTACCAAATTTCGGGGTCAACTCGGAGTAAAAATGATAATTTATTGTGCCGAATATATTGTGCGGATTTACCCGGAGTTGGGGGTTATTTAACCCTTACAAATAACCCTGATTTTATTGTACGGGCCCTGATGCATGAAATATTTCTTTAGAGCATTTTACTAGGATAAAATATGAATTTGATGTTCTGGATGACAGATTTAGCCAAAAATAGGTTTTGGTTAACCAAAACCGGTGGTCAATCAAGACCTGAAAACCGGAGGTCGTAAACCGGCAAAAACCGAAAACAGAGAGTACCGGTTAAAACCGATTGTGTCCTACCTAGTATGAACCAGGGAACGAGCCTCACGATTTCCGAAAATCGGGAATTCCTGACGATTTTTGGGTCGAGATCCTACATATTTCCCGAAGTTGGGAATTTCATTCTTATGTCTGCTCGTTCCCTTATATGAGCCTCTAGGGAGCAGGCCAACTTACCGCGAGCCCAACTTACCGCAGAGCTATAACTTCGTTCAGAATTGCCGAATCCGGTACGCCTTGGTATGATTCGATGCGTCTCGACGAGCTGAATCGAACTATACCAGGGTGCCCCGGATTCGACAATTCTGAACGAAGTTATAGCTCTGCGACGAGTTGGGCTCGCGGTAAGTTGGAGTGTACCCGAGCCTCTACCTCTTCTTCTCCCCCAAAACATTCTTTTATTTTTAACCAATCAACAACAACATTTTCTTCTTTTCCAAAATTATTTTTAAATGATTTAAAAAACATTCCATTTAAATTAATTTCTTCAAAAAATTTTGAAAAATAATTTTTATTTTCGACAACAATTTTCCCTTCTTTTTTCATTTCACTCAACATTTCCTCTTCATTATCATTTCCCAAAATTTTAACAAAAATTTCAATTTCTTCAAATAAATTTCCAAAATCTTTTCTAATTTTAATCCAAGTTTTTTCCTCTTTTAAATCGTTTTTTCGGAAATTATTTAATAAATTCCCCATTTTTTCTGTCAAATTTTTTCCATAAATTTTTTGATAATAAAAGAGAGGAATAAACAAATTCTCTAAAAGAGTTTTTCTCAAAACAAAAGAATTAATTATTTCCATAATTAAATTTATTTTTTTATAAATTTGACCAAATATTTTATTTTTACTATTTAATGCTTTCTTTCCGATCCAATTAATTGGACTTGTTAAATAATTAAATATTTTCTCTATTAAACGTTTCCCTACTCCTCCTCCTCCATTCCCTCCAAAAAGTTGAATTGCTCTAAAATTGATATATTCTGGCTTGAAAAGCTCATCTGAATCTCCACTCACTGGAAAATTTAAAGGAAAATTTTATGTCAAAAAACTAAATTTAATTTAATTAGGTGA